GTGTAATGTCACCATGGTTGTTTAATATATTTATAGATGGGGTTGTAAAAGAAGTAAATGCTAGGGTGTTCGGGAGAGGGGTGGGGTTAAATTATGGGGAATTAAATGCAAAATGGGAATTGACACAGTTGCTTTTTGCTGATGATACTGTGCTTATGGGAGATTCTAAAGAAAAATTGCAAAGGTTAGTGGACGAATTTGGGAATGTGTGTAAAGGCAGAAAGTTGAAAGTGAATATAGAAAAGAGTAAGGTGATGAGAGTATCAAATTATTTAGATAAAGAAAAATTGGATATCAAATTGGGGAGGAGGAGTATGGAAAAAGTGAATGTTTTCAGATATTTGGGAGTTGACGTGTCAGCGGATGGGTTTATGAAGGATGAGGTTAATCATAGAATTGATGAAGGAAAAAGGTGAGTGGTGCATTGAGGTATATGTGGAGGCAAAAAATGTTATCTATGGAGACAAAGAAGGGAATGTATGAAAGTATAGTAGTACCAACACTCTTATATGGGTGTGAAGCTTGGGTTGTAAATGCTGCAGCAAAGAGGCGGTTGGAGGCAGTGGAGATGTCGTGTCTAAGGGCAATGTGTGGTGTAAATATTATGCAGAAAATTCGTAGTGTGGAAATTAGGAGAAGGTGTGGAGTTAATAAAAGTATTAGTCAGAGGGCTGAAGAGGGTTTATTGAGGTGGTTTGGTCATTTAGAGAGAATGGATGAAAGTAGAATGACATGGAGAGCGTATAAATCTGTCGGGGAAGGAAGGCGGGGCAGGGGTCGTCCTCGAAAAGGTTGGAGGGAGGGAGTAAAGGTGGTGTTGTGGGCGAGGGGTTTGACCTTCCAGCAGGCGTGCATGAGCGTGTTAGATAGGAGTGAATGGAGACAAATGGTATTTGGGACCTGACGATCTGTTGGAGTGTGAGCAGGGTAATATTTAGTGAAGGGATTCAGGGAAACCGGCTATTTTATATAACCGGACTTGAGTCCTGGAATTGGGAAGTACAATGCCTGCACTCTAAAGAAGGGGTTTGGGACATTGGCAGTTTGGAGAGATATATTGTGTAGTTTTTATACGTATATACTTCTAAACTGCTGTATTCTGGGCACCTCTGCAAAAACAGTGATTATGTGTGAGTGAGGTGAAAGTGTTGAATGATGAAAGTATTTTCTCTTTGGGGATTTTCTTTCTCTTTGGGGTCACCCTGCCTCAGTGGGAGATGGCCGACTTGTTAAATATATATATATATATATATATATATATATATATATATATATATATATATATATATATATATATATATATATATATATATATATATATATATATATATATATAATATTGTAAGAAGGATACAACGAGCGTAGATCTTCTGTTGCTACATAGAGGTAGTAACTCACACACACACACACACACACACACTCGTGGTACACTCGTGAATCACCCTTGGCAGACGTACCTTCCAAGCCTGGTCGAAGATGGTTCTCACCTTGTCTCTTGCTTGCAATTTGACTTTCTGTACATATCCTCTGTATACATTGTACACATTGCTTGCTGTTTGAAAGAAATGTATTTACTCTCTCTCTGCTGTCTTTTGCTCGTTCCTCGTTTTTACCGTGATTATTGTGCTACAACCAGGTGTGCAGGCCACTAGACTACACCTGTTCTCATAATACCCCGGTATAAACCTTGTTAATACATACTGACAGACTGGGTTAGAAAGGCACATAAGCAAACACTACGACATATTAGAAAACGTTTCTGTCTTGGGACCTTGATCTCTTCTAACGTACAGAGGTTAAAAAACCTGTATATATAAGTGGAGAGTGAGGTGTTAAGTGACACATTCTTCAGGTCAGGTCACCATATGTCACTCCCACCTCACTTCATGTCACCATATGTCACTCCCACCTCACTTCATGTCACCATTTGTCACTCCCACCTCACTTCATGTCACCATGTGTCACTCACACCTCATTCTCCGCCTATATATACTGTCTCTTAACCTCTGTATGTCAGAAATGATCAAGGTCCTAGGACCAAAATATTTTCTAACAGATATCCCAGTGTTGGCAAATGTGTCATTCTGAACCAATAATTTGCCTACTATAGACGTCAGGCTTATTGGATGGTAATTTGATGGTATGGACTTATCCCCTGATTTAAATATAAGAATTACATTAGCCATCTTCCATATGTCTGGCACAACACCAGTTTGGATGGATACATTAAACACGCTCTTTAGTGGCTAAGTTCCAACTTGCATTCTTTAATTACGCTTGAAAATAATTCGTTGGGGCAAGAGACTTTCTTTAGTTTCAGTTTATCTACGTGTTTTATAACCATTTGCCTCGTGGCAGTAATATTACTTATTTTCTTTAGGAACCTGAATGCTTATTAATTGCTGGGATATCATTTATATCTTCTTGGGTAAAGACTGACGAGAAATAACCATTAAACAGAGAACAAATTTCCTGTTTCATGATTCACGAAATCGTAATGACACGATTGCAAACAAACCATACCACGGGCGGGGATAGAACCCGCAATCAGAGAGTCCTAGTTGGGCGAATTTTATTGTGGCTAACTGGTCCAGTGGCTAACGCGACGATCTAGAGTTTTGAGACTCTCTGATCGCGGGTTCTATCCCCGCCCGTGGTATGGTAAATTTCCTGCTCATTATCAGTCATCCGTCCATCTTCAATTCTCAGCAGTCCTGCTTTTTCCTGACTTTTGTCCTAAACACTTGAAAGAACCCTCTTGGATTAGTCTTTGATTCATTAGCAACTTTAATTTCATAGTCGAGTCTAGCCTTTCTAATCCCCCTTTTTTATTTCTTTTAAAATGAACACATTCGTCAATAAGGTTAATCTCTTCTTTTCATGCGCCTGTAAATTCCTCTTTTCTCTCCTAATAGATGTTTTATTATCCTGTTCACCCATTTGGGATCTTCCTTATTTGACCTTGTGTCTCTTTGGGAAATATATATACTCGAGCACGTTGTACATTATTAAGACAAAAATCATAAATGCAGATACCTTTATTATCGCATGTATGATCATCGTCAATAAAATCATTACCTAGATAACCCCAGTCTAGATTAGACAGGTGTGCTCTAAGTCCATTATAATCGGCTGAACGAAAATCGTAAAGCCGTCCTGAGATTCATTGATCAATTTGTCTTTGAAGGTGGCTTCAAATAGATTTTGCATTTATTGATTCCATCAATTTTCCCGTAATGGAGGTTAGGCTAATTGGTCTATAATTCGAAGTTAAGGACCTATCTCCTGCTTTCTAGACAGGTATCACATTTGCCGTTTTCCACTTATCTGGCAATATGCCAGTTTGTAGTAATGTGTTGAGAAGACTAGCCAATGATTTCCTGAGCTCCCCTTTACATTCCTTTATAACCTTAGTGAACAGTTCATCAGGAACCGGGAACTTGTTAGGCTTTAATCTATCTATAGATAGATTACAACCTTATCACTAGTAACTGTGCACAACTTATTTTCGTATCTATTTCCATAATTTTCATTTCTGTAATTTCTAAGAGGAAACAACATGTCTAGCGATCGTACGTTTCGAAAAACTAATTTTCACGAAATTTAGCGACTCCAAACAACTTAAAACAATTAAAAAATAAAAGTTCTGAAATTTAGGCTACGCTGATTAGCATACATAATTAGGATCCACGATTATCTATGTGAAAATGCTATCTAACTAATTATCCTACATGACTAATTATTTCCATGTTTACTTACATAAATCATTTCCAAGGTTCTTTTCTTGAGGCAACACAATACTGTATATATAATTTTTTCCCTAGATTTTAAATTTTTTTGAATGTCTTAAAATTCATAATAAACTTTAAAAATGTACGCCAAACATCTACTAATACTGTATTACATATTGTATTACTAATACTGTATTACATACTGTATTACTAACACTGTATTACACACGTGCTTATTTCTTTTTCAAATGGAATTTCAAATATTTTTTATTCCAGCCGCAAATAATTTGACGAGATCTAAAGTGGAAAATTTCGTCCCCAAGAATGTGGAAATATTACCGACAAGGAAATAAAATAACACCGCAATGTATCTCCCGGCACATCACAGCCGACAATGAACGATAACGATGGTGCGTCACATAACACATACTTGTGTAACATTATTTACCCAGTGAGGCTACGCCGCCGGCCATGTGACCCGCTGTATCACCAGGGGAAATTATATTATGCCGCTGATGCAATATAATTCGTCAGGGTCTCTGTACAGGGGCTACCACGATTCGTGATTTTTTTTTTGTGTGTAGGATATGGGTGACTTTTGTAGAAAGTCACCCATACAGAATACTGGATGACTTGATATAAGCTCTACACAGAGCGAAGCATTGCCTCATTAGATATGATAAAAGTCTACCCAGAGCGTGGCGTAGTCACATTAGACTTGATAAGGCTCTACCCAGAGCGTGGCGTAGTCACATTAGACTTGATAAGGCTCTACCCAGAGCGTGGCGTAGTCACATTAGACTTGATAAGGCTCTACCCAGAGCGTGGCGTAGTCACATTAGACTTGATAAGGCTCTACCCAGAGCGTGGCGTAGTCACATTAGACTTGATAAAGCTCTACACGATATACCGTCGTTACACTAGACTGATAAAGCTCTACACAAAGCTTGGCGTAGTCATATTAAATTTGAGAGGAGATATCATTTAATGCTATTGACAAGGAGATGAAAAGAGAGGGCTTATATGAGAGAATTTAATTCCTTTGTAAGGTATTTGAGAGAGAGGATAAATTCTTCAGTATTATAACAAGGAACTTAATTCCTTAAGATATTAAGATGGTTTATCATTTATTACTGTTGTAAGGAATTTGATTCCATATTGGTATATAAAAGAGAATTTATCTTTCAATGCATTGGTATGGAATATGATATATATTAATGTATTCAAGAGAGGAGTCACCCTTCATTATCATGGCAAGGAACATGATTCTTTGACAGAGCATTCATTCTTAAAATACGTAGCAAGAAATCTGACTCACTTATCTCAAGAAACTTCTCATAGATGGCTTCGTAGGGTTCCCAGGTGATGTTGCGTTGCTTGCTGCGTTCCTTGTAACTGAGAACTGGCTTTACCTCCTCTGGCAGGTTGGGGTCCCTGTGAGAGACGAGGAGAGAAAGAGACGGTGAGAGGAACCCATACCTGTTACAGTTTTGCAGTCCACTCTCATGTGATTGTTGTGGTGGGTATGGTTGCTGTGGTGATTGTGGTGGTTGGGGTGGTTGTGGATTTTTTTTTCTAAATGTGGGTAGGTGTTTTGATATCGCCAGAATGGATGAATGGACAACAATGCACTACTAAGGATATCTTTATTGGAAAAGCTTCGGTCAAGTGACCTGGATCACTCCAGTTTTGGAGTGATCAGGATCCCAGTACCGAAGGGTTTTCAATGAAAATGTCTCAAGTGATTACACTTACGACATCCAGAAATATACATTGGTGGTTATCGTTTTTGATCAAAGATGTGTTTGATATAATGATGACTGTGGGATGGTTGCTTCTGTTATTATGGTTGTAGTTATGATGGTTGTGGGTATTGTGATTATGGTTGTGTTTATGCTCTTTGTGGATATTGTGCTTATGGTTGCTGTGGTGACTATGGTTGTTTTTAACTGTTGGGGCTACTGATGGAGGATATAGATATCAAATGAAAAAAAAATATTACGGAGAAATGGTAGCAACCCTATTATCTGCCTCATTGTTGGAGGCAGTGTTGTTGGGAAGCGTAGCAGTGAGGACCTGCTTGCCAGGTATAGGGCAACAATACACATAATTAAGACAAAAAGAGGGGATCCCTGGTACATGAAGCATTCTGCCTCAGAGAGGCGCTGGCAGCGAGTGGCTTTCTTAAGTGAGGAAATTGTAGTACCATTCATAGACAACTTGGATCTTTACATTGTCAAGAATGACATGTATACCGAGGATGGCTTACATTTATCTAGAACACTGGTAAAAGTATTAGGTACTTTAGGGATGATTTTAGGAGTGTTTTAGTGAGACGGCTACACGTGGATGTCAATAAAAATTCAAGGCACGAAAATCTTAGGAAATTTAAATTTCAGCCAAGCTGACTGGATCTCTGACTATAAAACTTGACTCCAAAGATTTCCTAGAGGATTCCCTGACTTGGTTTTTAAAACAGGTTGTGACAGACCCAACATGAGATAATAATCTCACAAACAAGATACTATTATAAATAATGCGGTAACACAGATATGCAACAGTTAGGCATTTTTATTACGAAACGTTTCGCCTACACAGTAGCCTTCTTCAGTCAAATACAGAAAAGTAGGCAGACGCAGTAGAGATGTGAAGACGATATAATCAGTAAATAGATAATGTGGAAATTACCAAAGAGCTTGGCAAAGCTGACATATAACAATTGATTTTTAAAATGGCAAGGACGTATAATAATAAAAAATGCATTAAAGGTCCTAGATTGTGGCTCGGCAAATTACAATAGACTCAGGAGACACTTATCTAGTGTAGACTGGGATAACTTGACCAATTGTTATTTTAACAAAAATCTTACATATTTTAATGAGAACTCTCAGCATGACATATTTGTAAAAAATTGTACAAGGTGTCCTAAGAACATTAATAAGAGATGAAATCAAATATAAAAGGACACCAAATGGATGAAGAGGACACTAAAACATAATTTGGGAGAGACGAAAAATTAATAAAAGCGATAATAGAATCATCGTCTAATGAACCAGAATGTTTATATCACAAGTGAGGTCGAAAAACGATAAGAAAAGCTAAACGAGAGAATGAAATTAAAGCTAAAAATGGAATCAAAGACAAATCAGAAAGGTTTCTTGCAAGAATATAACTCAGGTAAGCTTACTGACGATGAGAAGGAAATGTAATCTATTTTCAAAAAATATATTTCACGTTAGCCATTAAGACAGATACAACGTTAAACTCAGTAACTAATAATTCTTAATGAACCAAAGGGAGAGGCAATTACTTAATATGGTAGTCACCAGAGACATTGTTATCAGTCTAGTGTAAGTCTCCTCACAGACCAAGGTATGGATGACTAACATTAGACCAAGGTATGGATGACTAACATAGACCAAGGTATGGATGACTAACATAGACCAAGGTATGGATGACTAACATAGACCAAGGTATGGATGACTAACATAGACCAAGGTATGGATGACTAACATAGACCAAGGTATGGATGACTAACATAGACCAAGGTATGGATGACTAACATAGACCAAGGTATGGATGACTAACATAGACCAAGGTATGAAGGACTAACATAGACCAAGGCATGGATGACTAACATAGACCAAGGTATGGATGACTAACATAGACCAAGGTATGGATGACTAACATAGACCAAGGCATGGATGACTAACATAGACCAAGGTATGGATGACTAACATAGACCAAGGCATGGATGACTAACATAGACCAAGGTATGGATGACTAACATAGACCAAAGTATGGATGACTAACATAGACCAAGGTATGGATGACTAACATAGACCAAGGTATGGATGACTAACATAGACCAAGGCATGGATGACTAACATAGACCAAGGCATGGATGACTAACATAGACCAAGGTATGGATGACTAACATAGACCAAGTATGGATGACTAACATAGACCAAGGCATGGATGACTAACATAGACCAAGGTATGGATGACTAACATAGACCAAGGATGAATGACTAACATAGACCAAGGCATGGATGACTAACATAGACCAAGGATGGATGACTAACATAGACCAAGGTATGGATGACTAACATAGACCAAGGTATGGATGACTAACATAGACCAAGGCATGGATGACTAACATAGACCAAGGTATGGATGACTAACATAGACCAAGGTATGGATGACTAACATAGACCAAGGCATGGATGACTAACATAGACCAAGGTATGGATGACTAACATAGACCAAGGCATGGATGGCTAACATAGACCAAGGTATGGATGACTAACATAGACCAAGGCATGGATGACTAACATAGACCAAGGCATGGATGACTAACATAGACCAAGGCATGGATGACTAACATAGACCAAAGTATGGATGACTAACATAGACCAAGGTATGGATGACTAACATAGACCAAGGCATGGATGACTAACATAGACCAAGGCATGGATGACTAACATAGACCAAGGCATGGATGACTAACATAGACCAAAGTATGGATGACTAACATAGACCAAGGTATGGATGACTAACATAGACCAAGGCATGGATGACTAACATAGACCAAGGCATGGATGACTAACATAGACCAAGGCATGGATGACTAACATAGACCAAAGTATGGATGACTAACATAGACCAAGGTATGGATGACTAACATAGACCAAGGCATGGATGACTAACATAGACCAAGGCATGGATGACTAACATAGACCAAGGCATGGATGACTAACATAGACCAAGGATGGATGACTAACATAGACCAAGTATGGATGACTAACATAGACCAAGGCATGGATGACTAACATAGACCAAGGCATGGATGACTAACATAGACCAAGGTATGGATGACTAACATAGACCAAGGCATGGATGACTAACATAGCATGAAGTTGGATGAAACATGACCAGTGGAGCACTAACAGTTGACCAAGGCATGGTTGACATGCTTTGACTAAGTGCATGTGTAAATAGAGCAGGCATGGATAGTACTGTTAGCTGTGAGCATGGCTTGGTAAAATGACTGTGGTGAGCAGTAAAGCTTTGTCACTGCGCGTGCTTTTGTTGTTGTAGCAGTGGCTTTGTAGTAGTGGCTGTTGTTGTGGTAGCAGTGGCTTTGTAGTAGTGGCTGTTGTTGTGGTAGCAGTGGCTTTGTAGTAGTGGCTGTTGTTGTGGTAGTAGTGTGCTTTGTGAGTAAGTGGCTTTGTAGATAGTGCTGTGTTGTGTAGTAGTGGCTGTTGTTGTGGTAGTAGTGGCTTTGTAGTAGTGGCTGTTGTTGTGGTAGTAGTGGCTTTGTAGTAGTGGCTGTTGTTGTGGTAGTAGTGGCTTTGTAGTAGTGGCTGTTGTTGTGGTAGTAGTGGCTTTGTAGTAGTGGCTTTGTTGTGGTGTGTTATTGTCTGGTGATGGCTGTTGTGGTGTGGAGTGGCTTCTTGTTGTAGTGGTGTTTGTTTTTGGTATGTGCTGTGGCTGTTGTATGTGGCGGTGTGGTTGTTGTGGTGGGGGTTGTTTGTAGGTGGGGGTGGCTGTTCTTGTGGAGGTAGCCGTTGTTGTGTAGTTTTGCTTGTGGTGTTATCCTGTGGTGGTGTCTGTTATTGTTGTTGTGTGAAGGTGCTGTTGCTGTTGTTGTGGTGGTGGTTGTTGTCGTGGTGGTGGTGTTGTCGTGGTGGTGGTGGCTGTTCTTGTGGAGGTAGCCGTTGTTGTTGTAGTTTCTGCTGTGGCTGTTCTTGTGGTGGTGTCTGTTATTGTTGTGTTGTGAAGGTGCCTGTTGCTGTTGTTGTGGTGTGGTTGTTGTCGTGGTGGTGGTTGTTGTCGTGGGGGTGGTGGCTGTTCTTGTGGAGGTAGCCGTTGTTGTTGTAGTTTCTGCTGTGGCTGTTCTTGTGGTGGTGTCTGTTATTGTTGTTGTTGTGAAGGTGCCTGTTGCTGTTGTTGTGGTGGTGGTATATTGTTTGTGGATGGTGGTTGTTAATGTGTTGTGGGTAGTGGATGTGGCTTTGTTGGGGTAGCTGTTGTTGTGGGTGGTTGTGCTGCGACTGTGACTTGTGGTGGTTTTGTTATTTGGGGGTTGTTGTTGTGAGGTGCTTGTGTAGGGTTGTTGTGGTGGTGTAGTGGTTTGTGTGTGTGTTGTTGTGGTCGTAGCTTTGTAGTAGTGGCTGGTTTTGTGTGTAGCCGTTGATGTTTATTGTCGTGGTGACTGTAGGGTGTTCTGGTTGTGGTGGTGGTCTCGTGGTGTAGTATTGTTTTGTGGTGATGGTGGCTGTTGCTGTTGTTAATGTGGCGGTGGTGGTTGTTGTGGTGGTGGTTGTTTCGTGGTGGGGTGGCTGTTCTTGTGGAGGTAGCCGTTGTTGTTGTAGTTTTGTGCTGTGGCTGTCTTGTGGTGGTGTCTGTTATTGTTGTTGTTGTGAGGTGCC